AAATATATGGGCAAACGAACGGACGGACAGATGGACGGACATGCATAAATCGACTCAGAAAGTGATTCTATGCAAATCATCAAAAGGAACTATGGGTCTATCTCGTTTCCTTTTGCCAAATTGCACAATGCACAAAGACTTAATACGCTGACCACCTTTACGGTGTAGGGTATAAAAACAAAATGTCTAAAGTCAAGTACGGTATACGGCTCTTAAGATAACAAGATGAGATGAGTGAGGAAGTGAAATAAGAGACAGCTGAAGCAACAAAAACGAAAAACAACAAACCAGCTTCGAAATTTAAAAATAGAATGAACGCAACACCATCAGAATGGATGGAAATGCAAAAAAAAAACTATTCAAATGTGTGGGAAGGTATTTTTTTAGTACATTTGGATATGGGAATACTTGGATTTTTTTTTAGGTTATTATTAGGTTTCCTCATGCCATACTCCACTCTGCGTCAGGTTGAATGGATATTTTCATTGCTTAAATTACAAGCCAGATTCTTGAAACTTTTGGGATGAAAATATATCAACTTACTTTGATCATTATACCCTACACCACATAGGGGTAAGGGTGTAATGTCTTTGTGCATTAGTTTGTAACAGGGAGAAGGAAGCGAGATGGGCTCATAGTTACTTTTGAGAATAATCATAAAATCACTTTCAGAGTCGAGTCCATCCATGTATTCTTGTGAACAAAATGCAGGTTGCATTTAATATCCGATTGAGATGAAATTTTGCAAAAAATATTTGTTTGGGCCAAGAACGAACCCTATTGAAATTAGTGGAAATCAGATCAGATTTAGATATAGCTCCCATATATCTTCAATCGTTTTCGGGTTAATTGTGCACCAAATGGCCAATATAAGTCCTAATGACTTGAATTTTGGTACATCCCACCGAATTCAGTCTAGAAGCAAGTACATCAAATTTCGGTTCAGGCTTTGGGGCTTTAAGTCCCTCCAATGCATAATATATACTTCACAAGAATGATATTTGGTAACGGACATCAGATACTGCTCGAAAATACCTCTGTCAAATTTTATCGAGATCGGTTCAGATTAGAATATAGTTTCCCTATATATCCTTATCCGATATAAGGTTTATTGTGCACCAAATGGCTTATATCAGCCCAAATGGACTGAATGAATGAACAGAATTCATCCTAGAATCCAGTACTTTAAATTTGGTGTAAATCGGTTCAGATATAGCTCTAGCTCCCGGTTGGGCTTTATATTGGGCTCAAATATAGCTATAGCTCCCATACATATATTTCATCCGATTTGGGATTTAAAGTCCCTCACATTCATAATATTCATTCGACAATAATGATATTTGGAAGTTTAGACCTCGAAAATACCTTTGCCAAATTTTTTTAATATAATCCTTCTCGAAGTGATATCATGCACTCTGTAGGAATGTTAATTGGTATAAAAGGTTTAAATGTTTCCGTCAAATTTAGTGAAAATCGATTCAGATTTAGATTTGTCTCCCCTGCATTAGTTCCCTCTGAAACCAAACTATATCTCCTCTAAAGCCAAATGTTGATAGGTGGTATGATCTACTTCAAATAAATGCTTTTGTTACGGGAGCTTTACGAAACATGCATAGTGATGTAGAGTATCACATAGTCGGCCCCGCCCAACTTTTGACTTTTCCTTGCTGTTGGGCCATGTAGGTCCACGTTATCATATAGCCCCCATATAAAGGTACCTCCCGATATTCGGTATTTTGATGATTTTAGCGACATTATTCACCGGAAGTGTGTCAAATTAGGTATTTGAAGTTCGCAATGAAAATTAAATCCTAAAGGTAAGGTCACATTGAGCAAATATTTGACGAAAAATGTCAAATATTTCTTTGTCACAATCTGACCACCAAATATTATTTGACGGTAAATACAAAAACAGCTGATTTTTGGAAAACAAAATTATTTGCCAGAAAACAAAAATTTGACCAGTGCGTCCATAATGTGAACACCTATGATCAATTATTTTCCTCTTTTTTGGTCAAACATTTATTTGACGGTGCAAATGTTTTGTAAGGTCAAACAGGGAAAAATATCAGTTTAAAACATTGGGCAGCATTTTGCTTTAAGAACAGGAGCATTTGTAACATGATGTTTAATGAATAGAAAAGCAAACGAATACAATAGGTGGTTTTCTTTATTTGATATTTTTGAATTAACTGAATTTGAATGTTTAGTAAAAATTTAATATATGGTCTGTTCCAGAACTGCAAGATGTAAAAGTTTTTACTACGATTACCGATTTTCCCTTTATCATATCGAAGAAAATTGACAAACTAGTAGATTCTTGCACGTTCAGGAATAGGATATAGGTAGATGCATCAACGCTTCAAACATTGATATGTCAAACATTTTGAAATGTTTTGACAAAAATAAGAAGATTTTTCTATGTTTTCCTATACGGCGAAAAAGTGGAGGTTGCAATGATATATATTTTTCAACAATTTTTACAAATTTCAATAATATTTCATTCATTATTTTCAATTCCAAAATTGTTTTGACAGTTCATTGTCCCAGCAGCTATGTCGATGTGACTACCTGTATTCTTCTACCATGATACAAACAAAAATGCAAAAAAAAAAAATTGTTCTGACAAGGAATTTATTTCACAACAGCTGGTCTTTTGCTTCCCTTCTCCAAATAAATTATACCCGAAACTACATTTTCTTTATGTATCTCTTTCACTCTCTCTGTCTATTTCTCTCAGCCAAATAAACTTATGTTTTCTCACAGTTTGATCAAACAATTTAATGGGAAAATATATTTTACGAATGTGAACATGTGTCAAACATGTTTTCCCATAGCACTGTTTGACGCTGTTTGGTGACTGCTTGAACAAACAAAATCTCTCAAATATTTGACTGTAATGTGAACATCGAATCAACTCTGTATGAATTTCACATTTGTTCAGTCAAATATGGGAAAACAAGTTTCGATCAAATATTTGCCCAGTGTGACCGTACCTTAAGAAAAAAAATTGTTTGTGCAAGTCCACGTCTTCGTATAGCCCCCATATAACGGTGCCTCCCTATATTCGGTATTTTGATGATATTAGCGACATTATTCACCGGAATTGTTTCAAACTTGGTATTTGAAGTTCGAAATAAATACTACAGCCTAAGACAGAAAACTGTCTGTGCAGGTCAACGCCTTCGTATAGCCCCCATATTACGGTACCTCCCGATAATCAGTATTTTGATGACTGTAGCTACATTATTCGCCGATTTTTATACCCTACAACAATTTGTGTTGGGGGTATTATAAGTTTGATTGGGTCAAAAATTATGTGTCACCTGGAAATATTGGTTTCCCACATAGGAAAGTATATATGGATCTTCCTAGTTCGCCGAGCTGAGTCGATCTAACTATGTATGTCCGTCCGTCCGTCTGTACATGGTCGCAAATTAAAATGAGGGTGGGGTTTGGGCCAGAATAGAACCCTATTGCTTTTGGAGATGATCGTATAATATTTAGAGGTTGAAATGCACCAAAAACTGAAAAAATTCTTGATTTTGCATTTGCTCTACAGATCGAAGTTATAGACCAATCGACGCGGAAGATTGCATGGGGCTAGAGCTTAGAGCTAAGCAGAAGCCTTCCAATTTTGATGGTCATCGGGTAATATTTAGTGGAAAAAACAGACCATAACATTTGTATTAAATAAAAGTCAAATTTTCCATTAATCACAAATGGACGAATAGGTCAATTCTGACCGTTGCTTAGATGCCGATAGTAAATATATCGGACATATGTAGCGAAATATATGCGATGTATATGTACAAAGGTAGGAGATATGAGCTAGAATGCTGAACCGCTTTTGACAAATTTTGTCAATTCAGAATGCCCTCTTGACATAAAAGTATAAAAGTATTTTGTTAATTTTTTTTTTTTTTTAATTTTTTATCGCATGCGATTTTTTCAATTTTGAAATATTCTTCCACCTTAAAACACAGGTTGGGGTTATTATATACAGATTGCAATTATCGGCCTATCATCACGAAAATTTTCATAAGGGTAGGGTTAGGCTCAGAAGGGCTAGGACTATTGTTTTCATAGATGTCCACAATATATTTAGAGGTTGAAATGGACCAACAACTACAAATGTTCCTGAAGGTCACAAATAGAAACCAAAGGACACGAAATCTCGCATGAAGTTAGATTTTAGGACAGCGGGTAGAATGGATCACCACTTTTGTGTGAAAAAATACCAACATTACCTACAGGCGATATCCGAAATACAAAGGCGAACTTCTGACCAAATATTGTAGACAAGCAAATCATTGCTTTTGGTGATGATTGCAAAATAATTAGGGGTTCAAATGAATTGAAATTTAAACCAATCGACACGGCATTTTGCATGAGAAGAGAGTTAAGGACAAGGAAGAAGTCTAGCATTTTAAATGTCCATTGAATTATATTTTGCTGTAAAATTGACCACAACAACTAACAGCACGACGGAGTGCGTAAATATTGGGCAAATGTCCTTGGTCAAAATGTGTAATATCTGGGCAGTGATCTATGACATAATTTCAAAAGCGAAATCTTCCGCACGACTATAGTCTTTGCTTACTAGTTTTTTCTAAGTTTTGCATTTGAATATTGTAATGGCTTATGAAAAAAATTACCTATGCAGGTCCATATCGTCGTATTGACCCTAATATAACGGCTACATCCGGTATTTCTAAGATTTAAATGGATTTTATTGTTTTTGAGAATTGCGAAATTCGTTCCAAATGGTGGAGCGAATTCAAAGTTCGGCCCGGTCGAACATGCAGCTTTTTTACTTGTTAATCTTTAACATTTCAAATATTCCTTAAAGCCCTTTTCACTTGGCCATTGCTAAAGTCATTGTTACCCATAAATTAACCCGTGAAAAACTAGACTATATATGATTTTAACTTTTTAACCCTGTAAATTTTTTGCTTTGTTTAATTTCGTTTTTTTGTTTTTTCATTCTTTCTTTGCAGTCTAGTGTATCCAAACGTCTTGATTTGCTGTGGAAATTTTTAAAGCCCGTTTCATTTGCGCTCATTGGCAAAGAAATTAATTTTGCCGTTTTGGATGGTAAAGTCGTTGGTTACGGTGCCCTGTTGGTGTTACTCGGAAGTCTGGTAATTATAATATTTTTTCTTTTTTTGTTGTTGTTGTTGATTTTTTTCCTGTTGTGTGTTGCACGGTGCCATGCTATGCTCTGAAAATCGTTCAGCTTTGACCAAAAATGTGCAGCACATAAAGTTATGGTAGTGGTTTTGCATTGTTGTAGTCGTCCGGAAAGGGTTGCAACAAAAAAAAAAGAAAGATGGAAAAACAAAAATTGTAGAATCTACCCCTTCCTTCTCTCACCACCAAAAAATGGGAAGCAACAACAGAAAAACATTGGCAACAAAGTTATACATGTTGTTAGTTGCTGGTCTCTCCTCTATATGAGAAGGAGTTTGTTTTCGTTCCTGTTTTGTTTTTGTGTTTTTTTTCGTCTTCCTTTTTTGGGTGTTTGTTGTTTGGCTTATAACAATGGTCGAAATGGTGGTCATTGTGTTTATAAATGTATGAGGAAAATGGCGTTTTTAATGCATAATACCCAGTTACACATGTATGTATGAGTGTGAGTGGAGCTTGTCCCAAACTTACATAAGTCTGGGGGAAGCACACAACGTCCGAGTCAAAAAAAGGCAAGAAACAATGAAAAAATGCTTTTTAAACAATAAATTAAAATGTTTTTCTCTTTGTTTTTCTCTTTTTTTTTTGTTTTGCGTTTTTTTGATTATTTTCCACATTTTTCCGCCGGTTGTTCTCTTGAAGTTGTTAACAATGCAAAATTTCCTACGATTTTCTTTATGCTAAGCATGAGTTTTTTTAGTTTTTTTTTTTTTAGGGTGATGGGGATTTGACGTAATGGAGTTTTTATACCCTACACAACATAGTGAAAAGGGTATTATGTTTTTGTCTATGAGATAGACCCATAGTTACTTTTGAGGATTTTCATAGAATAACTTTCTGAATCGATTTATGCATGTCAGTCCGTCTGTCCATGCATTTTTGTAAACAAAATGCAGGTCACATTTATAATCCGATTGAGATGAAAATTGCCAAACATTATTTGTTTGATTCAAGGTCGATCCCTACTGGTGAGAATTGGTTAAAATCTGGATATAGCTCCCATATATATCTTCAATGGATTTCGGGTTAATTGTGCACCATATGACCAATATCAGTACAAATGACCTAAATTTTGGAACATCCGATCGAATTCAGTCTAGAAGCAACTACAAATTTGTAAAGAATCGGTTATATATAGCTATATATTGCTATTGCTCACATATATATGTCTTATCCGATTTGGTGTGTAACATCCTCACATACGTAATGTGCACTTCACAAGACCAATATTTGGTACCAGATATCAGATACAGCTTAAAAATAATTCTGTCAGTTTTTTCGAGATCGGTTCAGATTTTTATATATCTTTGATATGAGAGGAAAAAACTGCAACCAACTTCAGACCGCTGTAATTTCTAAGCCACTCGTTCGACAGCTATTAAAATTATTCCAATGACAGTTTATTATATTGTTTACAAGCGTACAAAATCATTTAGGTGAGAATTTTCCAGAAAAAATGTTATTCGCGATGGAATTCAAGCGTGATAGTGTGATTTCTTTATATTTGGCTGGAAAAATACAAGCGGCTATCGTTCGAGCACTCCAGCATTTAAATGTGATTAATTCTTTTAGATGTCCCACGATCGCTCGTTACAGTTAGGTCTCGTACCATCGCTCGTTACCTGGTAGCGTAACCCGAGTCAAGGAAGTGGTCGGAAGAAAACAGCAACATCAGCAGAAGTGATTCGAAAAGTAAAAGAAGTGACTTGATCGAAACCCGCGTCGCAGTGGCCAAAAAAATGGCTCGTGAGCTGAACATATCGCAATATTCCATTCGGCACATATTAAAAAATGAGCTCGGGGTAAAGCTATTGAAATTCCAAAAACTACTAGAAATTACACAACAACAGAAAGAAAATTAACTCAAAAGAGCTAAGGAGTTGCTTCACTTGGCCGAAAGTGGTGAACTGCCGTATTTGGTTTTCTCCGATGAGAAAACATTCGTTGTCCAGCAGATTGTGTTTACTTGCCAAAGAGGTCAGCTGAAAATGTGCACATTCGGTTAGCCACCAGAACTCAAGCGCCGACCATGGTTATTGTGTGGGCCGCCATAACAGCCGATGGCCGCTCTCCGATCGTATTTGTCGACCGTGGCATCAGAATAAATGCTGAACATTGTGACTAAAATATTTTGGAGGGTGTATTAAAGCCTTTGGCCGCAGACCTTGGACATTCCAACAGGACTCAGCACCATCGCACTCACCTCACGCCAACCATGAAAGGTTATAAAATGAGGTTCCTCGCTTCATTTCCAGCGCACAATAGCCACCAAAATCTCCGGATACCAATCTGTTGGACTATTGTATATGGAGTATTTTGGAAAGCAAGGTTGGCACTAAACTATAACTCAAGCAAGCGCTTCGGCGGGAACGTGCCAAAATACAATAGAACAACATTCGGGCAGCGTGTGACAGTTTTATTGGCGTTTTGAATGCCATAATTCGTGCCGAAGGTGATAAATTCGAACAAATCTAATCTTATTCTAAAAGTTGATGTTATTTCCGACATTTTTTTGCTTTCATTCAATAAATAAAAAAAAAAAACTGAAAAATTATGGTGTTTGACTTTGTTGCAATTTTTTCATTTCACCCTGTACTTAGTCCGGTATCTATTGGTCCAATAAATATTTTTTCATATAATTCTTATAGAAGTCATATCATTCACTATACAGCAATGTTATTTGGTGTTAGAGGTACAAAAGCCCCCTTGTCAAATTTGTTGAAAAATGATTCAGAGTTGGATATAGTTCCCAAATTGTAGGTACTCTAAAGCCTGATAGGCCTTCAATATCGGTCCACTCCTTCTGGTAACTCTCCCCTAAAAGCTGAAAATTTCAGTGCTAGGTCAGGTGTGAAAATGGATAATATCGGTGCAATGCATAAAGTACCTCCCCCACAAGGAGTTAACATTTTGAGTAATTATAACTTTTATAAAATGTGATGTAAGCGTACGATTGTCTTGAAATTACTCACATCACAATATTTCCATTAACCCAAGGTCTGGTGTGAAGATACAATATGTAGGTCCACTCCTTCGGGTACCTTCCCCACAAACGGTCTAAATTTTGAATTTCCATGATGGCTATAAAACAAATAATTAACTTCCAATTCCATTCAGACTTGGCACATCTCAATAAGTCTATTGACACAAGATCTGCAATAAAGATGGTCGGGATCGAACCACTCGTTCTGATACCTTCCCCACAAAGGGTCCAACATTTTTAAAAACCAAAACGATTATAAAATCCGACATAAGCATCTAATTCTCTTCATATTTCCCACTTCCAATTATTTCTACTAACACAAGACTTGCTGTGAAGAAGGGATATATGGGTCTACTTCTCCCCAGAAAGGGCACATATTTTGAATATCCATGAAGCACATAAAACATCCGATTATATTCAGACTTGGCATATCTCGATATTCCTATCAACACAAGATCTGTTTTAAATATGGTAGATATCGGAGCATTTCTTTTGGTACTTCCCCACATATGGTTCAAAGTTCTGAACATTCGATTCTCTTCAAATTTCAAACACCCAATATTTCCACTAGCACAAAATCTGGTATGAAGATGATGAACAGGGTGAGATAAAAAAAACTGCAACAAAGTTAAACGCCATAATTTTTTACTTATTTTTTTTTAATTTTATTGAATGAAAGCAAAAAATGTCGGAAATACCATCAAATTTTAGAATAAGTTTAGATTTGTTCGAATTGGTCACCTTTGGCACGAATTATAATCTTCAAATGGTCTATGAAACCGTCACGCACTGGCCGAATGTTGCTCAGCGGTATTTTGGCCCATACCCGGCGAAGCGCTTGGTTGAGGTGATCGACACTTTGGTATCTTTTAGTGCCAAACTTGCTTTTCAAAATACCCCATACACAATAGTGCAACACATTGGTATTCGGAGATTTTGGTGGCCATTGTGCGCTGGAAATGAAGCGATGAACTTCATTTTATAACCGTTCTTAGGTGGCGCGTGCTGAGTGCGATGGTGCTGAGGGTACTCCTTTTGGAATGTCCAAGGTCTGCAGCCAAAATATTTGTGTTCCCAAGGCTTAATACACCCTCCAGAATATTTTCGCGATAATATTCGTCATTTATTCCGATGCCACGGTCGATTAATACGAGCGGAGTTCGACCATCGGTCGAACCGTTATATTTGGGTCTATACGACGTGGACCTACACAGGCATTGTTTGTTATAAGCCATTACCATATTCAAATTCGAAACTTGAAATAAACGGTGAATGATGTCCCTAAAATCGTCAAAATACCGAATATAGGGAGGTACTGATATATGCGAAGACCTGGACCTGCATAGACAATTTTCTGTCACAGACTGTAGTTTCCATTACGAACTCTAAATACGTAATTTGAAACTACTCCGGTGAATAATGACGCTAAAGTTATCAAGTTACCGAATATTGGGAGGTACCGTTGTAGGTGAGCTATACGAAGACCTGGACCTGCACAGGCAATTTTCTGTCGTAGGCTGTAGTATCCATAACGAACTTCAAATACCAAATTTGAAACAATTTCGGTAAATAATGTCGGTACAATCATCAAAATACCGAATATAGGGAGGTACTGATATATGGGGCCTATATGAAGACGTGGACCTGCATAAACAATTTTCTGTCACAGACTGTAGTTTCCATTACGAACTCTAAATACGTAATTGAAACTACTCCGGTGAATAATGAAGCTAAGGTCATCAAGTTACCGAATATTGGGAGGTACCGTTGTAGGGGGACTATACCAAGACGTGCACCTGCACAGACAACTTTCTGTCTTAGGCTGTGGCATCCATTACGAACATCAAATACCGAATTTAAAAGAATTCCGGTGAATAATGTCGCTAATATCATCAAAATACCGAATATCCGGAGGTATCGTTATATGGGGGATAAACCAAACCGTGGACCTACATGGCCCATTTTCAATACCAAAAGTCCTGCAGACATAACATACATTTGAGTAAAATTTTATCAATCTACTTCAATTCGTTCGGAAGCTAGAGTGATTTCCACAGACAGATAGACGGACGGACATCTCTAAATCGACATCGAATTTTATGAATTTTTTTTTTAGAATATGTACTCTTTGTGGGGTCTGAAATGTATACTTCGAGATACTATGGTGGAGGGTATAAAAATATAAAATATAAATATATTATTTCTTATTTATAATTTAGTTTTATTTATTTCCCCAAAAAATTTGATCTGCCTTAAAACCTATCATTCCTCTGAATTTTACCAATTTATTCCCAAATGGTAGTTATCTAGTTTAGAGTTGTTGTTGTTATTATTACTTTGTTTTTGTTAACCATTATACCGCAAAACATTTTTTTATTCATTCATTTATTTATTTGTTGTTTTGTTTTATTTATTTACAGTTTCGTTTAGGATTCGCCTACATATCCACATATGGCGGAAATCTGTCGAGAAAAGAACGTGGCTACATTACAATTTCCGGCTTTCCCAAAGCAACTGTCCAAGTAAGTTTCCGTTGACGTGTCACTTTAAGAATATTTCGAATTTTTCTCTTCACAAGTGGTTGGTGCCTAAACGGACAAACAAACACACACACACATTGAGATACACAACAACAGCCATGTGACGTACACCTATATGTCTTTGTTGGCTCTCACAGAGAGGGTACACACATCGTTACAACTCTGCTATTTTTGCCAAAAGCGCTCAGCAGTGGTTGGAGTGGCGCGGCTAAATGTCATATGGCTTATTTGGTTAGCGGCAAAGTGAAGTTGTTTTGCTGTGGCTTTTATTATGAAGCCACAACAAAAGGGCAACATTTGTTTCAATGCGAGAAATGAGAACTTGAGCAGAGAGTTTTATAAGCGGAAAAATTAGCGCAAAAGACAGTATTTTTAGAAAATTATCAGAACATAATGTTTATGGAAGATATAATGGTCATTTTGAAGAAAGATCTAACGCCTTTACAACACTGAAGTCCTCTGAAAGATTTTTAGTGTTAGAGTACTTATTCGAAAATTTTTGATTTGTGTGTGTGTTGAAAATGTATTTTTCATGATGCAAAATTTTCTGCTGTGGGACAAGGTGATACGAAGCCCTATTTATATGAAATCGGATATATATGGGAGCTATATCCAAATCTGAACCGATCTCGATAAAATTTGTGCAAATATTTCTGAGCTGTTGTTGTTACAGAGTGCATATTACGGCCGCGGAGGCCTAAAACAACAAATCGGATGAACAATATACATTGGAGCTATAGCTATATCTGAACCGATCTTCACCAAATTTGACATACAAGCTTCTAGACTCAATTCGGTCGTAAGTGCCAAATTTCATCCCATTTGGGAAAATATTAGACGTTTGGTGCACAATAAAAGGTAAATCGGACGAAGTTATATATGGGAGCTATATCCAAATCTGAACCGATCTCGATAAAATTTAGCAAAGGTATTTCTGAGCTGCATTTGATATATTTCTCCAAATATTGTTATTACGGAGTGCATATTACGGCTGCGGAGGTCTAAAATAACAAATCGGATGGACAATATATATTGGAGCTATAGCTATATCTGAATCGTTTTCGATCAAATTTGGCATACTTATTTTGAGGCCTGAGTTGTTTCTATGTGCAAAATTCCATACTATTCGGGCTGATATTACACGTTTGGTGTACAATAAAAGGCAAATCAGACGAAAATTTATATGGGAGCTATATCTAAGTTTTTACCGATTATCTCCAATTTCAATAGGGTTCGTCCTTGGGCCAAACAAATGACTTGTGCAAAATTTCATCTCAATCGGATAATAAATGCGACTTGCATTTTGTTCATAAAAATACAGAGACAGACGGACGGACGAACGGACACACGGACTGACATGCATAAATCAACTCAGAAAGTTATTCTATGGAGATCCTCAAAAGTAACTATGGGTCTATATCGCTTCATTCTCCATGTTACAAACAAATGCATAAAGACATAATACCCATACCACTATGTGGTGTATGGTATATAGAAATCCAGTAGATTGTGTAAGTAGAACTAAAAATAGAGGACAAGTGTATAACCGTTTTAATAGAGAATACAATACGAAAGGGAATGGGAAAGAATCCAAAGGTAAAAAAAAAAATAAACAAGAAAACAAAGGCTATAGTCGTGCGGGGCCGACTATGTGATACCCTACAGCACTACAATATGTTAAAAGTCCCATTATGTCCAAGTCCATTTTGGAAGATTTCGGTTTTGAATGTGAAATGTCACAGAGAACTGCCAAATCCGTCGTGCTGTTAGTTGTTGTGTTCCATGGTCATGGCCATGGTAAATGATCATCGAAAATGCTAGAATTCTTCCCTGTCCTTAACTCTCTTCTCAGGCGTTTCGATTTGCTTTAATTGCGTGATCAGGATTTTTTTTTTTTGTTATTTGTTAATTTGATTTAATGTTGGTATTTTTGCACACAAAAGTAGTGGTCCATTCTACCCGCTGTCTTAAACTCTAACCTCATGCGAGATTTCGTGTCCTCCATTCCATTTGCAACCTTTATAACGGCTGCGAAATCAAAAAATTTTAAATTGTTGTTCCATTTCAACGCCTAAATTTATTGCGGACATCTTTAAGAACAATAGGCCTAGCCCTTCTGAGCCTATGCCTACCCTTGTGAAAATTTTCGTGTGGATCGGACGATAATTGCAATCTGTATATAATAACCCCAACGTGTGTTGTGAGGTAAAAAATTGACCTGTTCGTCAATTTGTGATTTCGTCGGGATTAAAAATATTCGCGGTTTAATGGAAAATTTGACTTTTATTTAACACAAATGTTATGGTCTATTTCACCCACTAAACATTACCCGATGACCATCAAAATTCAGGTCATTTTTCAGTTTTTGGTCAATTTCAACTCAAAATATTATGCGATAATCTCCAAAAGAAATAGGGTTCTATTCTGACATTAACCCCACCTCCATTCTAATTTTCGTGAAAATCGGGCCATTATTGCGACCTGTAGAGTGATTACAAATTAACAAGGACAGACGGACGGACAGACATACATAGTTAGATCGACTCAGCTCGGCGAGATAGGAAGATCCATATACACTTTCCTGTGTGGGAAACCAGGTGCTACATAATTTTTGGCCCAATCAAACCTGTAATACCCCCAACACATAGTGTTGTAGGGTACATACCTCAATCATGCAATCCCATAGAAATGCTATTTCCAAATTTCAGAATTTCACCTCTATCGGTTCACCGCAGTTCCAGTTTTTACACATTTTGGTACCATTTAGTACACATTTCCACAACAACGTTCTTCATACAATCCAATAGAAATCGTATTCCCAATATCAGGACTCCAGACCTATCGGTTCACTCAAATCTAAAGTGTTCCAAATTTAGTACTATTTAGTACACTTCAGTACGAATTTCCAAAGTTTCCCACAAACCTCAATCCTACACTCCACCAGTAAACTTAATTACAAATATTAAGATATCAGCTCCATTGGTTCACCCAAATGAGTACGAATTTTTAAAACTACTTACATTCCTCAGACCAAGAATGCAATTGTTATTTTATTTTTAAATGTCAAAATTCCTGCTCTATCGGTACCCCCAAATCGAAATTTTCAAATTTAGTACTATTTTGTACTTTTCGTGCACATAAGTAAAAATTTCGAAAACTTCCTTCATATTCCAATCGTACACTCCTCCAGTAATATCATGTTCAAATTTTAAGATTCCAGCTCCATCCGTTCATCCATATTAAAATTGTACTAAATTTTGTACCGTTTAGTACTTTTTACAAAACTACCTCCCTACATCGACTCTACTCCTCCACCTTGATTCCAATTCCAAATTTCAAATTTTTAGCTCTAACCGTTCACATGATACGAAATGGTACCTAATGTAGTACATTTTAGTATTTTTCGTACACTTATAGTGCAATTTTACAAAAACCCTCTGTTACATCTATAATACACTGCATAAGTGACGCCCATTCGAAATTTAAAAGTTCTACTCCTACTGCTTCCTCAAATACACATGGTATTTAGTACTTTTTAATACATTTCGTACCGTTATAGTACGAATTTCTAAAAGCCAGCCTTATCTGACCCCTACGTATCAAGAGTGACCCCTACCCAAAATTTCATAATTCTAACATCAACTGTTTCGTCTGAGCGTTGATGAAATACTTAGTCAGTCAGTCAATCAGTCAACCAATTATTTTCTAACATTTTCTCATTTCAAACCAATGTCCAATTTCGAAAAAAACTAACTTTTTCGTGAGAATTTAGACTTTCCTATGCATGTATATTTATGTGTTATTTTCGTGTTTTTGAGAGGGAGTCATTCCGCAGCGAATACGTGCAGTGCAACAATGCAACAACGAATAACGAAAAAACGTCATGTTAGATTTCGAGGCATGTCGGCGCTTAACAATGCCACCTATAAACTCCAACTTTAACCCCAGGGTTAACTTTGTGTTTGGGGTTTTTCTTCCATTGTTTATTTTAGTCAATTTTGAAAATAACATAATATTAAAATGTTCGTTTTTGTTTCGGGGGGTTGTCGGGCCTGTTTTTTCTTCAGTTTGGCATTTTTATACCGTACACCACAAGGTGGTCAGGATATTATGTCTTTGTGCATTTGTTTGTAACAGGCAAAAGGAAACGAGATAGACCCATAGGTCCTTTTGATGATCTGCATAGAATTACATTCTGAGTCGATTTATGCATGTCCGTTCGTCTGTCCGTCCGTCCGTCTGTCCATGTATTTTTGTGAACAAAGTACAGTTCGCATTTGTCACCCGATCCAGATGAAATTTTGCACAAATCATTTGTTTGGCCCAAGGATGAACCCTTTTGAAATTAGAGATAATCGGTAAACATTTAGATATAGCTCCCATATATATCTTCGTCCGATTTGCCTTTTATTGTGTACCAAACGTGTAATATCAGCCCGAAAAGTATGGAATCGTCCGATTTAGCTTTTATTGTGCATCAAACGTCAAATATTTCACCAAATGGGATGAAATTTGGCACTACCGAATTGAGTCTAGAAGCTAGTATGTCAAATTTGGTGAAGATCGGTTGAAATATAGCTATAGTTCCCATACATTTTGTTCATCCGATTTGTTATATTTGTTACCCACAGCCGTAATATGCACCCCGTAACAACGATATTCAGGGAAATATCTCAAATACAGCCTAGAAATATCTTTGCAAAGTTTTATCAAGATCGGTTCAAATTTGGATATAGCTCCTATATATATGGGCAATATAAGTCCGAATTTAAAAGATACAAATGCTTCGGCATATTTAGTCATTTGAACTTTAAGTTATAATTATAATCATAGCGTGTATGATTGAATTCTCCCATAGAAACTGTTGTAGGGTATCATAAAGTCGACCCCACCAGACTTTAAGACTTTCTTTACTGATTGTATATGGGTTTAAATTAAGCTGTTACAATATTCAAATGCGAAATTTAAAAAAAAAAATCGCT